AATGGAAAAACAAAGAAACAGTCTTTGATTGAAAGGAGAAGAGGGAATCTCAGAAAGAGTGCTAAATAAAATACAGGAAAGTCAACTACCAGATATTGAGTTCAAAACAATGGTTATAAGGAAATTCAATGAGCTCAGTGTGAATTGCCAGAAACTACAGGGAAACTACGAGGAACTCACTGCAAACTATATCAATATAAAAAAATGATACAGAAACTACCAACAAGGGACAAGAGGAAATGAAAAATACAATTTCTGAATTGAAGAATACACTACAAGGAATCAAACACAGGCTAGATAAAGCAGAGGATCAAATCAGCGAGCTGGATGACAAGGTAGAAAAAAATAACAGAAAGAGAAAGAAAAAGAAGAGGCTAAAAAAGAATGAAAGGTGTTCAGAGTACTGCAGGACAACATGAAACATAATAATATCTGCATAATTGGGATACCAGAAGCAGAAGAAGAGCAAAGAACAGAAAACCTGTTTGAAAAAGTAATGATGAAAAACTTCTTTAATTTGATGAGAGAAAAAGCCATACAAATTCAGGTAGCACAGAGGGTTCCAATCAAGACGAACCTAAAGAGGCCCACTCCAAGACACAGCACAATTAAAATGGCAAAATTCCAAGATAAAGAGAGAGTTTTAAAGGCAGAAAGAGAGAAACATAAATTAACATACAAGGGAGCCCCAATAAGGATAGCGGCTGACTTCTCAATGAAAACATTACAAGCCAGAAGGGAATGGCAAGAAATAGTCCAAGTAATGAAAAACAAAGTACTGCAACCAAAAGTACTCTGTCCAGCAAGGCTCTCAATTAAAATGGAAGGTGACATAAGGAGATTCACACACAAAAGAAGGTTAAAAGAATAGACCTCCACTGAATCAGCATTGCAAGATACACTATTGGAACTTCCTTAAGAAGAGGAAGAAAAACAGTGGGGGAGAGGAACACAGGTGCAAAGAGAGTAAAATGGCAATGAATAAATACCTATCAATAATAACCTTAAATGTAAATGGATTAAATGCTCCAATCAAAAGACAAGGGTAGTTGAATGGATAAGAAAATATGATCCACATATGCTTAAAAGAGACCCACCTAAGAATAAAAGCCCCACACAGACTGAAAGTGAAGGGTTGGAAAAATATAATCCAAGTAAATGGTCAAGGAAAAAAAGCTGGATATCAAACAAAAGAGTTAAAAACAAAGGCCATGAAAACAGACATGATTCCTTTCACTGTGTTCTTCAGTTCAGATATTGTATTCTTCATTTTATCTAGACCCTTGCTCATAGTTTCTATTTCCTTATTTATGTTGATATAGTTTGCAGTGAGTTCACTGTAGTCTCCCTGTAGTTTCTGGTAGCTCATTGTGAGCTCTTTATATTTCCTGATAACTATTGCTTTAAACTCAATATCTGATAGCTGACTTGCCTCTATTTCATCTAGCATTCTTTCTGAGGCTTCCTCCTTTTCTTTCATTTGGGGATTGTTTCTTTGTCTTCCAATTGTTTGTGATACTCTTCTTGTTAGCTTCAGCTTCTTAAATTGATTTGTTCTGGCTTCCTCGGTTTACGGTGTGAACTTCTGTGGTATACTACCTGTGAGATTCAGTGGTGTAGTCTCCTTGATCTCCCAAGCTCACTGGTCTTGGGCTGTAATTTAAGTTGGCTCTGTGTTTGTCTTTGGGTTTTGATTGTTTTGGGGTCCTTCTTTTGTGGGTCCTTCCAACCAGCTGGTGAACTGATGGTCCCTCTGTCTACCACCTGTTGTAATTTGTTGTGCTGGTGAGGGCAGGTTGTGTTGAAGCTAGTTCTTCCGTGTGTACAAGGTCTTGAGGATTTTCTTTTGTTCTTGTTCAGTTGTTTGTACTAGGTAGTTTCTCCACTATTTAGTTATATTTCCAGAGAGGTCTTGGATTGAGGTTTGTGTGGTTTTCACATCGCCTTCACCTTGTTCTGTCGTTATCTGTTGGTGGTTCCTTTGTGTTTGGGTTTCCTCTTCCAGTGGGTATCCTGGTGTTCACTGCTTCCACCTACTCTAGGAGGACATACAGAGGATCCAGAGACATATGAAAAGATGCTCAATATCTCTAACTATCAGGGAGATGGAAGTTAAAACCATAATGAGATACCACTTCACGCTGGTCAGAATGACCATCATAAACATCAACAAACAGTGCTGGAGAGGTTGTGGAGAAAGGGGAACCCTAGTGCACTGTTGGTGGGACTGCAGAATGGTGCAGCCACAGTAGAAAACAGTACAGAATTTTTTCAGAAAACTAAAAATGGATCCTGCCTTTTGACCCAGCAATTCTACTGCCGGATTATACCCTAAGTACCTTGAAACACTAATTCAAAAGAACATACGCAGCCCAATATTCATAGCAGCACAATTTACACTAGCCAAGTGCTGGAAGCAGCCTAGGTGCCCATCAGTAAATGAGTGGATCAAAAAACTGTCGTAGATTTACACAATGGAATACCACAGAGCAGAAAGAAAGAAGCTCCTACCCTTCAGAACTGTATGGGTGGAACTGAGGAGCATTATGCTAAATGATGTAAACCAGGCAGTGAAAGACAAATGCTATATGATCTCACTTATAGTGGAACCTAATCAGCAAAATGAATACAGAAGCAAAATATAACCAGAGACATTAAAATTAAGAATAAACTAACAGTAATCAGAGGGGATGGGGGAGAGAGATAATGGTGAAAGAAGGTTAGGGTCATCAATGAACATGTTTAAAGGACCTAACAACAAAGTCAAAGAGGAGAAGGATGGAGGGTGGGAGGTGCCAGTGGGTGGGGCAGGTGAAAGTGGTGGCAGGAAAATTGAGACAAGTGTATTAAAAAAACAAACAAATAAATAAATTTTTAAAAAGGGAAAAATATATGCCTCACATTAAAATTATCTCACCTTTTACTAAAATATATCTTTTTCTAATCTCTTCTATCTCTACATAGCACCACCATCAGCTTGGTAGTTTGAACCATATGAAACTGCATTTCTTTGTAGGTCATAAATAGCTGACTATTGGTGGTTTCAAACAGGTCAACTTTAATAGTTGTTTGGGTCAGCAACCTGGGTGAAATTCTTATTACCTCACTTCCCTTCAACTTTTACAACAAGCCAATCATGAGGCCTGGTAAATTCTATTTCTCAGGCAGGTTCTGAATCCATCTGTAAGTCAACTACCATACCCCAAGTCATCACTTATTGGCCCCAGCGATTCCACTGTCCATACTGCTTTGAACCAGTGTGTCCTCTTTAAAACACAAGTTAGGTGATCCTACTTCCATGCTAGAAATCAGTCACAGATTCTCACTGCCCTCAACACAAAAAGCAGATATTCATCATGGCTTGGTAGAGCTAGAACATTCCAGCTCCTGCTGACCTCTTAAATCCCTCCTCATTGTATTTTCTGGTTGCTGTATTTTTTGAATTTTCTCACATAGGCTCCTTCCCAATTCAGGGCCTTTGTACAAACTCTTCCTTTTGCCTGGAGCCCTTTTCTCTCTTAACCTCAGGCTCTTGTCACTCAGTGACCCTTACTTCTTCTTCATCTGTGTCTTATCATAAAGGCCTCAAGAGAACATTCTAAGACAACCTCCCAAACAGAGATGAAACACATGTTCCATCATTGACACTCTGTTCTCCACTTCAGCACAGATCACACTTCCAAGTACCTGCTCAATGTCCTGTTTGATTCACACTCCAAGAGGTAAGACCAGAACTCTCTTGTTCATCACAATATAACCACCACTAAGCCATACCTAGCACATAATAGGCACCCAATAAATGTTTGCTGAGTGCACGACTCCCTCAAAAACATCAAGATTAAAATTGAAAGCTGCCATGTTGGCTCAGTGATATCCTAGTTTTGATATATGTTCAGCAATTTTCCTATTTAGGATTTTTTTAAATAAATAGAAACATTCTATTAAAATTTCAAAATCAAAAGGCTGAACCAGAACTCTGGACCTTCTCTAAATTATTCCCTACCATGGTTATGTTACTGTAGGTCACAGCTAAGAATAAGCAGCTAGAGGGAAAATAAAGCAGAGCCCCCACAATCACAATCTAACAAAGAACTTAAAACGGGAAGCTAGAAACAAAAGGGAGACATGTCTCACTCATTGACCTAGCAGTCCTTAGCCTGGTCTGATAAGATTGCCAGGCATTCCAAGCATCACAAGTAAAACTATAATAGCACAGAAGAAGGGAGCCTTGTAAGTCTTTGTGTATCATCTCCACTAGCTGGGAAAGCCTTCGTGACAGTATTAATCCCAAGATCTGGGGAGCAGAAGGAGGAGGGAGAACCTAGAAGCCAACTAAAGTATATTACCTCTGAACCCCAATAGTCATCACACTCAGATTAGCTGAGGGCCAACTTGTAGCCTTGGCTAAAGTGTATAGAATAAACTTACTAACAAACTTACTACCTTATTTCCTTTATAGATTTCATAAATAAACTTACTATCTCATTTTGACTACATATTTGTCCTTTGATTGAATTCATCTCTTGTGAGCAAGGCAAGAACTGAGGAACAAGCTTGGGGGTGGGTCCCTGACTTGGATTTCTCCCTGGTAATAGCTACATCTAGTAGTAGTTATAGTTATAAGAGAAATAATAATCATAACTAATATTTATAGAAGGTCAACTTTGTGCCAAGCTGATGGAGGAAACTGAGTACAGTAGAGAAAGAAACTGGGAGTTTTCTGAGGTGTACATAGCCAGTAAATGGTGCCACAGTCAGAAAGACCCTTAATTCAGAACAAGCTTTGGATGTTCTCAGTCTCTAAATCTTTGGGAAAGACAATTTTTCAAACACAGAAAACCTCTTTACACCCTGAAGACTAAGAGCATGGACTACATAATCCAAGAGAAACACATGTTCAGCTCTATATAAATGTTTCTGAATGGGTTCCAGTTAATGTCACCACATTCCCAGGAGTGTTCTCTCCCAAGCAACATCTCGTTAAAAGCAGGTGGTCCTACCGGAAGAAAGAGTCTCTGGGCAGCACAGGGTTTGAATAATTTCTTCCATTCTTGAGAGTTTCCCACTGAAAATGTGATGGGGTAGATTCTGTGTTCAAACTTCTTTGTATATGAATCAGGCCATTGGCGTAACTGAAGAACATGGAAGAGAAGGAAAGGTTAATTAGACCCCAGAAATAAAGAAAACACTTAAAGCCTAAGCATATTTATGAAAGAAGAACAAAGTAAGTGGGATCACAATACATGACATCAAACTGTAATACAAGGCCACTGTAATCAAAACAGCCTCCGGATCTATATATATCAGTTAAGTCCATTTCATCTAGGGTGTTGTTTAATGCCACGATATCTTTGTTGATAATTTGTTTGGAAGATCTGCACCACAATGTTCATAGCAGCACAATTTACAATAGCCAAGAGTTGGAAGCAACCTAGGTGCCCATCAGTAAATGAATGGATCAAAAAATTGTGGTACATATACACAATGGAATTCTATGCTGCAGAGAGAAAGAAGGAGCTACTACCCTTTGCAACAACATGGATGGAACTGGAAAGCATTATGCTGAGTGAAATAAGCCAGGAGTTGAAAGACAAATACCATATGATCTCACCTTTAACAGGAAGCTAAACAACAAAACAAACAAGCAAGCAGAAAAAAACCAACAACAAAAAACAAAGACACTGAAATTGAGAACAAGGGGATAGTGACCAGAGGGGAGAAGGAAGGGAAGTTAAGGGGAAAAAGGGGGAGGGATTTGGAGGAACAAATAGGAAGGACACAGGGACGAGAACTAAGGGGGGTGGAAATGGGAGGGAGGTGGGGAGCAAGGGGCGGGGGAGGCTGGGATGGGAAAAATAGACAAAAAACTGTACTTGAAAAATAACTAAAAAAAAAACAAAAAAAAAAAAACCAGCCTCCGGTACTGGAATAAGAGCAGACACATAGATCAATGGAACAGAACAGAGATTGAAGAAATAAAGCCATGTCTCTATTGTCAAATAAAATTTGACAAAGCAGACAGGAGCATAAAATGGAGTAGAAATTACCTCTTTAACAAATGGTGTTGGGAGATCTGGACAGCTACATGCAAAAAAATGAAACTTGACCACCAACTTACACCATACACAAAAATAAATTCAAGGTGGTTAAGAATTAAATATAAGTGGGGACACCGTAAAAGTTCTAGAGGACAACATAGGCAGGGAAATCTCAGATATTCCATGCAGCAATATTTGCATTTATATGTCCCCTAGAGCAAGGGACATGAAGGGAAGAATAAACAAATGGGACTTCATGAAATTAAAAAGTTTCTGCATGGCTAAAGAAAATATCAGCAAAATGAGAAGTGAATCAACTCTATGGGAAAATATATGTGCTAATGATACCTTGGACAAGGGATGATCTCCAAAATATATAAAGAAGTGACAGGACTCCATACCAGGAAGACAAACAATCCAATTAAAAAATGGGCAAAGGACCTGAACAGACACTTCTCCAAGGTAGACATACAGAGGGCCCATATTTGTATGAAGGAATGCTCAACATCACTGGCCATCAGAGATGTAAATTAAAACTACAATGAGGTACCACTTCACATTGATCAGAATGGCCACCACTAACAAATCCACAAGTGCTGGCAAGGTTTTGGTGAAAAGGGAACCCTAGTGCAATGTTGGTGGAAAGGCAGACTGGTGTAGCCATGTGGAAAAAAGTAGGGAATTTCCTCAGAAAACTAAATATAGAACTGCCTTGTGATCCAGTGATGCTACTGCAGCAATTGTACCCCAAGAATCCTGAAACAGCCCTTCAAAAGAACCTATGTACCCCAATGTTCATAGCAACATTATTTTTTTTGCAATGTTATTTATAATAGCCTAACTGCCCATCAGTAAATGAGGGGATGAAAACAATGTGGAATATTTATCTAATGGAATACTGTGCAGTAGAAAGAAGGAACTCCTACCCTTCACAGCAGCATGGATGAAACTGGAGAGTATTATGCTTGGTGAAATAAATTAGTCAACAAAGACAAATACCATATCATCTCACCTATATGTGGAAGCTAATGAACAAAACAAACAAATGAGCAAAATAGAACCAGGGACATGGAAATAAGAAACAAACTGACAGTGACCAAAGGGGTGGGTGGAAGAAATAACAGGAAAATAAGAGGGAGAAAAAAGAAAGGGAAGGGCCTAGTAAAGGACCCATGGACATGGACAACAGGGTGGGAACTGACTATGGAAACAGAGGGTTGGTTGGCAGGTAGAGAGCAACTGGGAGAAAATTGTGACAACTGTATATCGAACAATTTTAAAAATTGAAAAAAGAAATATACAATGGATTACTATATAGTTAGAATAAATTAGATCTGTATGTGCTGACATGCAAATAATGATTATAATATTAAGTAAAAATGAAATATGCTTGTATTACAGGGAAAATATATGCATATATTTTATGAGTAGAGAAAAATCTGAACAGATGTGCACAAAATGTTAAAAATTGGTCACCGGTAGAAGTGGTGATGGTGTTTTTTTTTTCCAGGTTTAATTTTTTTGTATTTAAAGGATGTTTACTTTCTTTGCACTTATTAATTTTATAACAAAATTATACTTAATGTACTTAATGTTTTATTCATATTTTATGGTTTATGCTATTACAGTTGTCCCAAATTTCCCTTTTTGTACCCCCTCCACACAGCCCTTTGCCCACTCCCTCAGGCAATCCCGACACTGTTGTCCATGTCCTTGGGTATTGCATATATGTTCTTCTTTTCCCTATGCTGTACTTTATATCCCCATGACTATTCTGTGACTACCAACCTGTACTTCTAGATTCCTTTACCTTTTTCATACATCCTCCCTGACACCCCTCCCAGAAAATGTTCTCTGTTCTTATGATTCTGTTTCTGTTATGCTTGTTCATTTATTTTGTTTTTTAAAAAATATTTTAGTTTTTAATGAAGTAAACAAAGTTTTATTATATTTTATTACTGTTTAGTTCCATTATACCACCTTCCTCCCCCTGCAGTCATTGTCCATGTCCATGAGTCCTTTTTCCTTTTTGCTTATTTTCTCCATTCCTCTCCCCTCCCCTCCCCTTAGCTGTCATCCTGCTGTTTCCTTGAGTCTGTCTTTATTTTGCTTGTTAGTTCAGTTTGTTCATTAGATTCCACATATGAGTGAAATCATATGGTATCTGTCTTTCTATGACTAGCTTATTTTACTTAGCATATGTTCCTCAGGTTCATCCATACTGTCACAAAGGATAAAATTTTCTTTTTTTTACAACTGAGTAGTATTCCATTGTGTATGTGTCCCATAATTGTTTTATCCACTCATCTACTGATGGACACATGACCTCTTCCATAACTTGGTGACTATAAATAAAGCTGCAATGAATATAGGGTTGATTATGTCCTTTAGAATTAGTATTTTGGGTTCCTTTGGATATATTCCCAGAAGTGGGATTGCTGGGTCAAAAACTAGATTAAACTCAATTATGGATAGATATGTATTCATTGCCATTTTCTTGTTGTTGTTCTCCTTCTCCTCCTTCTTTTTCTAGAAGACCCTTTACCATTTCATAAAATACTGGTTTAGTGATGATGAACTCCTTCTCTGATTCTAAATGATAGCTTTGCTGGGTAGAGTAATCTTGGTTATAGGTTCTTGCTTTTCGTCCCTTTGAATATTTCTTGCCAATCCCTTCAAGCTTGCAAAGTTTCTTTTGAGAAACCAGCTGACAGTCTTATGGGAATTCCCCTGTAGACAACTAACTGCTTTCCTCTTGCTGTCCTTAGGTTTCTCTTTGTATTTAACCTTCGGCATTTTAATTATGGTGCCTTGAAGGTGAGTCTCTTTGGTTCCATCTCTTTGGGGACTCTCTGTGCTTCCTAGACTTGTTTGTCTATTTTCTTCACCAAGTTAGTTAAGTTTTGTTTCATTGTTTTTCCAAATAGGTTTCCAATTTCTTGTTCTTTCTCTTCTCCTGCTGGCACCCCTATGATGTGAATGTCAGTATGCCTGAAATTGTCCCAGGGGATACTTACACTATCCTTATTTTTTTAGATTCTGTTTTCTTCTTGCTTTTCTACTTGTTTTTGTTTGTTTGGGTTTTGCTTCCTTATGTTCCAAATATGTGATTTGATTCTTGGCTTCATCCACTCTACTGTTGATTCCCTCTAAATTATTCTTTATTTTAATTAGTGTATCCTTCATTTCTGACTGTTGAGGTCCTCCCTAAATTCCTTGACTATCCTTATTACCAGTGTTTTGAATTCTGCATCTGATAGATTGCTAACCTCCATTTTGTTTAGTTCTTTTTTAGTTTGTTTAGTTCTTCCCACTGAAAACCCTTGATGTGATGTCCATATCTCAAATTCTGTTCCTGTTCTAGTTTGCTTAGTTTTTGTCTTTGTTGTTTTTATTTCTTTTAGGTTCATTTGTTGATAGTCGTGAACTTGTTGTCATTTTACTGTTCATATTTTTTATCTTCTTTTTTCTTAGATAAGTCCCTTTAACATTTCATATAATAATGGCTTGGTGATGATAAACTCCTTTAATTTGACCTTATCTGGGAAGCACTTTATCTGCTCTCCCATTCCAAATGATAGGTTTGCTGGATAGAGTATTCTTGGATGTAGGTCCTTGCCTTTCATGACTTTAAATACTTTTATCCAGGCCCTTCTTGCCTGTAAGGTTTCTTTTGAGAAATCAGCTGATAGCCTTATGGGCACTCTTTTGTAGGTAACTCTCTCCTTTCCTCTTGCTGCTTTATAGATTCTCTCTTTGTGTTTAATCTTGGGTAACTTAATGATGATGTACCTTGGTGAGTTCCTCTTTGGATCCAACTTCTTTGGGACTCTCTGGGGTTCCTGGACTTCCTGGAAGTCTATTTCCTTTGCCAGATTGGGGAAGTTTTCCCCACTTTGTTCAAATGTTTTCAATTTCTTGCTGTCATTCTTATCCTTCTGGCACCCCTATAACTTGGGTATTAGAACATTTCAGGTTGTCTCAGGTTTGTAAGCCCCTCTTCACTTTTTTGAATTCTTGTTTCTTCATTTTGTTCCAGTGGATGTTTATTTTTTTCTCTTGTTCCAAAGCATTGATTTGAGTCCCAGTTTCCT